ATAATTTTAATTAATATTTTATTAATTTAATTATTAAAACTAAATAATAATTTATAAAATAATTAATATTTATTACAATAAATATATTAAAACTAATTTTTAAAAATAATTTTACATATTATAATTAATAATTTTAATATTATAAATTAATAAAAAATTAATTAAAATTATTATAAAAAATATGGATAATAATAGCCACCTCCCACTTGCATATGTCGAAATTTGTCCTTGAAGATTCTAATAAAATTTCATTATGACCAAACTAACATGGACAACGTTGCCTATTTTCAAAAACCGACATGGACAACCATTCTCCTTGGTGGGGGTGGGCCAATGTTATTGCAAATGATGAATATTGTCAAAAGATCTGACATTTTAACAATTTTTTTTTCTAAAAAGAAAAAATACACCCATCATAATCATGTCCATATTAATCAATGTGCACTTGTCCCACCACATACATAAAATAAACATAACTACATAGTACTATTAAATGTACCAAAAAAAAAACATAGTACTATTAATTTTTTCATCTTGGCCTCGGCATTTTCTTTGTATCTCTTTAGAAATATATTTTTTCTTATTATTATTATACAAAATTATGTAATTATTAGATAAGGACCAACTTCTAAATATAATTATGAACCCTCTTTCATCAAATAATTTTAATTTCAGAATTTAATATAGCACGAATTAAAAAACCACCCTCTTGAATATTTGTTTTGTGCCTTTTCTTCGGACGGTGAAGTAGTGAGGAATCTCCCACAAAAAATTAATTTGTTGGATAGAACGCAGGCAAAACTCCACCGACCTTGTTCTCTACTTATATTATTCTATTGGATTTCTATCGCAGAACCATTTTTTTAAGACTCTGATTGGTTTCATTTTTCCACCATTTTATATTTGATAGTTAATACTATTAAATTGTTAATATATAATATTTAAATTATAGTGCTTTTTTAGAATATTAAATATTTTTATTTTAAATTTATCTTAAATTAATTATATTTTTTATATTTAAAAAATAAATTATTTTTTATTTTAAACTTATTATTATCTCTTAAATTTAATTATTTATTTTATTATTAAAAATATCTTTTTATCTTTATCCTTTTTTTTTAAAATAATATTGATAAAAATATAAATTTTCTCTCAAATCCTAAATCTAAAAACAAAACTAAAAATGGTCTATTATTTAAGAATAAAAAATAACAAAAAATAAATATCAATCATCTCATGGCCACTCTCAGCAATAAGCTATTTGAAATGGCTAAGCCCCAGTTTGGTGCCTATAGATATAATAGTTAATTTTCGATTGATGCCCACGGATATAATAGTTAATTTATAAACAATAGAATAGTTGATATATATATTTTTATTAAAATTAATTAATAAATTAATATTTTCAAGAAATCTTGATCAACTTTTAAGTTTAAAAAAATTATAAAATAATAAAATCAACTAAATTAAATACACATTAAATCAACCAAAGCCTTACTACATTACGAAGAAGGATAATTCGTTGGCAAAAATGTACTTTTAGCCTCTCATCTTACTAAATTTGAAGGTTTTAACCCTTTATCTTATACTATGATACTTTTAGTCTTTTACCTTACTAGATTTATAGGTTTTAACCTCTCATATATTAAAATCGAAAAAAATAGCCCTCACTTTATACTGACTGTTAACCCTGTTAGCTAAAAGTAGGTTTTTGTCAACTACTAGTCAACTACTAGTCAACTAATAGTCAATTAACAAAATTAACGAAATATTATAAAATTAACTTTGTTAACTCTGTTAACTAAAAGAAGATTTTTGTAAGTTAACAGTCAAGTAACAATCAATTAATAGAGTTAACAGTCAGCTAATAGAACTAACAAAATATAACAAAGTGAGGGCTATTTTCTTCAATTTTAATGACTGAGGGGTTAAAAGTGTTATAATATAAGATAAAGGGTTAAAATCTAAAAATCTAATAAGATAAGGGGCTCAAAATATTATAGTATAAGGTAAGGACCTCAAATATTCAAACTTGATAAGGTGAAGGGTTAAAACTAAGCTTTTACCTAATTCTTCCTCCCAACTTTTCCTTTTCATGCTAACGAGAAACTCACTACTTTAGTTTAAGATCCTTATAAAAATATTAATTTTTTTATGATTCTCAATTATGTTGAAAAAGATCAGGAAGGGTACGATATGGAGGTAATAGATAAAAAGGTAACTTTAAGATGCAATAATTTCGGAGGGAATCGAAAGGAACAAAGATAGTGGGGTCAAAAACCAATCTTAAGGAGATAAATATACCTGAATAAGCAACAACGGGCAGTTGAGCACTCCACCGGATCCAGGAACGTCATAAAGGAGCTCCTCCAAACAAGGGAAGGGTGGTTGGAGAGCATCGCCAAACTGCTCAAGGGAGACATCTGCATCTGCCTCAATGAACAAGACACCCTCCCCAGTGCAGTCGACAAAAAGTTTGCGGTCAGGCCCCTCCCTAAGTCTCCCGGCAAATGGATAGTAAAACACTAGGGTTTTTGCAAGTGCCTCCTTAATAATCCTAGCGGGGTCTTTCCCTTGCATTGAAGGGTTGTACCTATAAAATTGGATCACCGGAATCTGGAATCGGAGACCCTCCTGGTCATCAATGTCCGAGAGCGGCTTGTACTCTCGAGGGGTGGCCTTTGCCGGAGCTATTAGCTCCGGCTTGCGCCTGCGGACCTTGAATACTAGGGAAGCTGATGGTGATGCCATGGAAATGAAATTTTGTCTTTGTTTAAGAGAAAGAGTAGAGATAAATGTTATTGCTAAAGGAGTTGGTGTGTGTTCCCAATGGAGAAATGGAAACTTGTATTTATAGCAAAAGTGAAGGAGAAGAGCATGGATTTAATTAGCAGGAAAGATTAGTTGAAGTTTTCCTTATTATTTTATATTATCATAAATTTTTTAAGTGCAAATTATCAGAAAAAAAATTTAATATTAAAATTATTAAAAAATCCTTAAAAAATACTTTTTAAAATTTATTTATTAATAGGGTTTTACTATATTTTTTTATACAATTAATGTAGACTTAAAAATATCAAAAGAAATCCTTAAAAAATACTTTTTTAAATTTATTTATTAATAGGGTTTTACTATATTTTTTTATACAATGTACACTTAAAAATATCTATCTTTTATAAAATTATCTTTATAATTTAATGATTTTTTAAAAAAAAAAAAATTTTATGTTAATTTAAAGATATAAGATTCGAGTCTTGTTTATGTTAAAAAAAGTTAAAAGATTTATCTTTTATATCATATTGCGTTTAATTATTTTGCTTTTCGGGAGTGGGGTTGGATGGTTGGGTATGGATTAAAGAAAATACCAAGTGGATGTGGAGTGAAAAAGACGAGAAGTTGCAGTGTGAATTTCTGATTCAATTATTGACTTGACTGTTGCACTTGGCTTGGACACTACTGGTTTAGAGTGGATGGTTACAGCCCAAGGGGCCAGGTTTCTGTTCCCACCCCCAACAACTGTATAAATAAATATATATATTTGTTATAAATTAAAATTGACTTGACTTTGAATGGTCCGCTCCAGTGTGAAACTCCAATTAATAGCCTTAAGGCTGAGTCTCGTTTAGCAATATTATTGTTTTGGGTTTTCAATTTTTGGTTGTTAAACTTCCGGCATGTTTAGATTGAGAAAAATTAAATTAAAATTAAAAAAATAAAAAACTTCCCTTCTCATCTCTTGAAATTTTTTTATAAATAAATAACGGAAATTTTAACGTATGTATCACTAATGATTATAGTATTCTTCCAATATAAGATTGTGGCTTTTGGTTATAATTTCATCCAATGTTTTAAATTTATAACATGATATCTTCGTAAATGATAGAGATCATTTCATTCATGAGCTCACCTATAATATCATATATATATATATATATTTACTTATTTAATGAGTCATTTTTATTATAAACTTATAATTTTACATAGTATCATAATTATATTATTTCTAAAAGTTAAAAATAAAAATCACGATAAGTTTTCAAAGTTACTCCTTTTAACTCAAAATAAAACTGTTTTGTTTATTTAAAATTTATCTCAAATTAATTATTCTTTATTCATATTCCCCGCTATTATTATCTATGCTATCAATATGATTTTTTCTTCTATTTTTATTTTTTAAAGGATGGTATAGATAAAAATATAAGTTTTTCTTAAAACTTTAATTTAAAAAATATTAAAAAATTATTCTAAGAAAGATGGGTAGAGTAATAATTAAAATTGAATTTCTTTTTATTTTTAAAATTTTTTAAAATTAAATATATTTTTTTACCAAAGCATACAACTAACAACATTAACATTACACTAACGACTTTAATAGTTTATTAATAATCTTCTTTCGATGGAAATAAGAGATTATAAATTTAAGTTGTATGATATACGAGTAGAGTGTGTTAAGGCATAAAAAAGAGTTACTCCACTTGTGCTATCTAAGATAAAAAAATTTTAAAAAATAATAAACAAATTAACATCATCAACCTTAGTTAACACATTGGCGTGACTCGTGGTTTCACTCACCTAGTTCTAAGCCCCATTCACATGCATGCATGGAAAGGGAGTGTTTGGATTATTCTTTTGAAAACAATTATTAACTATTAATTTTATTTAATTTAAATAAATTAAATATTTTAAATTATAAATTACAATCATTATGAATTATTAACTATTGGTATCACTTACATAGTGTATGTGAATAATTAATTTAAACACCCCTAAACTACCATATTATTATTTTTTACGTCTGGATCCTCGCTCCATTTGTTCCCCAAAT